TGAGAGCAGGCTGTGATGTCCGGCGTCCGTGTCCCCCGGGTGTGCTGAGAGCAGGCTGTGATGTCCGGTGTCATATCCCCCGGGTGTGCTCTGAGAGCAGGCTGTGATGTCCGGCGTCCGTGTCCCCCAGGTGTGCTGAGAGCAGGCTGTGATGTCCGGTGTCCGTGTCCACACTGTGTGCTGAGAGCAGGCTGTGATGTCCGGTGTCATGTCCCCCGGGTGTGCTGAGAGCAGGCTGTGATGTCCGGCGTCCGTGTCCCCCGGGTGTGCTGAGAGCAGGCTGTGGTGCCCGGTGTCATGTCCCCCGGGTGTGCTGAGAGCAGGCTGTGATGTCCGGTGTCATGTCCCCTGGGTGTGCTCTGAGAGCAGGCTGTGGTGCCCGGTGTCATGTCCCCCAGGTGTGCTGAGAGCAGGCTGTGATGTCCGGTGTCATGTCCCCTGGGTGTGCTCTGAGAGCAGGCTGTGATGTCCGGTGTCCGTGTCCACACTGTGTGCTGAGAGCAGGCTGTGATGTCCGGCGTCCGTGTCCACACTGTGTGCTCTGAGAGCAGGCTGTGGTGCCCGGTGTCATGTCCCCTGGGTGTGCTGAGAGCAGGCTGTGATGTCCGGCGTCCGTGTCCCCCAGGTGTGCTGAGAGCAGGCTGTGGTGCCCAGCTCCATGCGCTAGGCTTTGTCCCCTTTAAGCTTTTTGTGGTCACAGCTCAGTTCTCCTTTCCTGACTTCCTCAGATGATACTGCCTGATGTGGGCTGTGGGCCGACAGGGTAATGGCACTTGCCCCACAGCCCTGTGGCTTACAGCGTCCATTCAGCGTCCATTCAGCTGGGTTTTCTTTACTGTCGATGTGGAAGTCGTTTTTCCACCTCTTTGTACTTTCATGATATAAGTCGCTTTGGTTGCATGTCACAGAAGTGTAAGAAAATGTTAGTGTTGGAAGTTAATGCCACCAGCTGGGGGATCCCACCTGAACTCTAGTGATAGTGGTTCAGATGCATAATGTCTGCCCAGCAGCACCGCTGGCTTCATGCGGAAGCAGCACACCCGAGCACACACCCCCAGGGCGGCCCCCCCAGAGGTGCACGCACACCTGAGGGTGGGGCCTCAGAGGGAACATGCACCCTAAAGGCGATCTCCCACAAGGAGCACACACACCTGAGGGTGAGGCCCATGATCCTCCCCCCAAGAGCACGCACACCGAGGGGCCCCACCTCACCCCACCCCGGGAGTACATCTCTCTAGGGTGGGCTCTGCGTTCCTCTAACTCGGTCATGAGAAGCCCGTTGCCCACTCTGGGGCAGCCATTGCAGCCCTAACAGGAAGTTTTCCACCCACTTGTTACAGACTGGAAGCGGGTCCCTGGCGTCACGACTGGGTGGCCAGGCTTAGCTGCTGGGCAGGTGTGTCTGCAGGGCTGTCACTTCCGAGTGCCAAGTCTCTGCAGCAGGCCACCCTGTGTGAGCGTCCAGTTCTGTGCTGCCCCTGGAGACTGCTGGGCTCTGGCCAACATCCTGCATGGTGTCCTCACTGTCGGAACCCCTGCAGACAATCCTCGGGGCAGCTGGACAGTGTTCCTTTCCCCTCCGCAGCCTTCTGCCCTCTGCGGGTCTTCTGACCTTCGCGGAGCGCTCTGCTCATCCTGGGGGGCACTGCTCGTGCTGGGGTGTGAAGCTGGAGCCCCTCACTCAGGGGGCTCGGGTCAGCCCGCCCCAGCCTCCGCTCTGTGTCCTGAAACCACTCTGCTCGTCTCCTCAGTGTCAGAACCTGCATGACTCGGAGCACCTCACGTGGCTGACCGTCAACCACATTCAGGACCTCATCAGCCTGTCCCACGAGCCCCCGGTCCAGGACTTCATCAGCGCCGTCCACCGGAACTCCGCCGCCAGCGGCCTCTTCATCCAGGCCATCCAGTCTCGCTGTGACAACCTGTCGACGGTGAGTCCCCCCTCAGCTGGGGGAGCACGCGCCCGTCCCGGCTGGCCCCCCGAGCTGCCCGTCTTTCCCTCTGCCCGCAGCCCACCATGCTCAGGAAGACCCTCCAGTGCCTGGAGGGTATCCACCTCAGCCAGTCGGGCGCCGTGCTGACGCTGTACGTGGACCGGCTGCTGCACACCCCGTTCCGCGTGCTGGCACGCAGGGTGGACACGCTGGCCTGCCGCCGGGTGGAGATGCTGCTGGCCGCCAACACACAGGTGTGCAGGCCCCGCGGCCTGGCCTCTGGGGCGGCTCCACGGTGCCAGGCGGGTGGGTGGGTGTCCCCTACGTGCCGGGTGCCCGTCTCTGCGCCGGCATGTGCCGCAGTCGTCACGTGTGACATGGGTGATCTCCGAGTGAGCGTGACGTCCTCTGTCTCACACAGAGCAGCGTGTCGCAGCTGCCGTTGGAAGAGTTGAACAGGATCCAGGAGTACCTGCAGAGCAGCGGCCTGGCGCAGAGGTGAGCCGGGTCGGGCCAGGGTCACACACGCCGTGACTATCAGCATGGAAGTGTCCTGAGCGGGGAGGCGGCAGCAGCGAGCTGGACCTGTCTTTAGGAAAGGTGGCGTGGCCACAGAGGGGTGTGCTGAGCCCTGGACGGCCGTTACACGAGGCTGTGCCCATGACACCTGGAGCGCTGGGCATCGTGTCATCACCTGCTGAGTCAGGGCTGCCAGACTGGAAGGGCTCCCCGCCCTGGCAAGGGTCGGGCCCACACCTGCCCATCTCCTCCTCCTAACAGTCACCTAGCGTGGAGGTCGCAGGTGGCCCTTATCAGATGTGGTTCTGTCTGTGATGCAGGGGTATTTCCATGACCGCAACTAAGGGAAACTTTACCTGTTTTCCTCCTTTGAGGGGAGAAGGAGAGAGGGAGTGCGTGTGCGAGGGAGTGAGCAGGTGAGAGAGCACACCACCCTCGCTGTGTCTGCGTTCACAAGCGTGGCTGGCGCAGGCCCCTTGCGTGGCCGAGGCTGCAGGTGCACACGTCCAGTTCCAGACCGTCTGCTGTGTTCAGGGCTGAGTTGGACGTAATTTACTTCATGTAGCATCACCCCCTAGCAGGTGGTTTGAGGTCAGCCTGTTCTTGTCTGTTGACCCCACACTTTGTATGCAGTCCGGACGAGGAAGGTGATAATTACCTTGACCAGATGTGGCACTTGCTTTGTGATGTGACCATGAGAAACGAAAATCTCTTGTCGAGTTGATGTGCCGCACAGCCGCCCTTCAGGAGGAGGGGTGGCCCCGGGGTTTCCGAGGCCGGAATCTGTCCAGGCAGACTGCGTGTTTGTCCTCAGAGCTGCGTGTGAGTTCGCAGCCGAGCACTGAACCGCTGCACCACGAGGGCTCCCAGAAGTGTGTGTGCAGTGGTGGGAGCTGCACCGTTAGGGGCTGGAGGTGGCTGGGCTTGCGTGTGAAGGCGCCTCTGCAGCGGGCCAGGCCACGCCTAGGGCGAGTGTCTGGGCGGAAGAGGCGCTCTGTTCAGAGTAAATCAGGGCCTCGTTTGCATCCTGACGTGCCCATGTCTTAATGAGCACAGAGCTTTGAAGAGAACATTCTCCATGAGTCGTGTCTTCCAGAAGCCATTGATACTTCTTCCTTATAAAACCACCCCCCCTTTGGGTCAGTTCTGACTCAGCCATTGTCCCTGAGGTCCCTGAGGCCTTAAGTCCTCATCGGCTGGGGCTGCCCGGCTCTCGCCTGTGGACCCACTGGCAGACCCACACTGCCACCCTTTAGGAACAGCCCTGCAGGAGCACACAGCCTTGTGAAGGCTGTGAGAATTCCTTCCCGACACAGTGTATTTCTGGTGCCCTGACATGGAGAGCATTGGCCAAGCCTAACAACACCAACTGTGTTTGCATTTCAGACACCAAAGACTCTACTCCCTGCTGGACAGGTTCCGTCTCTCCACTGTCCCTGAATCACAGAGCCCCGCCCCACCTGTCACCTCCCACCCGCTGGACGGGGATGGGCATATGGCCTTGGAAGCAGTGAACCCAGACAAAGTACGTATGCAGGGGTCCAGCATGTGCATCTGCGTGCGTGTCCTCTGTGTGTATGGATCTGTGTCTCCCTAACCGTGCGTATCTGCGTGCGTATCACCTAGGGCTCGCCCTGAGGGCTACAGTCTGTCCTTGGTCTTCCCCGACAGGAGCCCAGGCCTGGGTGGTCAGTGGCCGTGGCTGGACTGTGAGGTGGAGAGGTGGGCTTGGCGAGGGCGCTAGTGCAGGAAACGCTGACGTAGAGTTCACAGGGCGGGGGTCTGAGACGACGCCGGGCCTCTGTCCAGGACAGTTCAGTGCACAGGCCTCTAAGGCAGGCGCGTAGACGTTGGGTTGGGCCGTGGTCTCAAGACTGTCCAGTACACAGGCCTTCAAGGCAGGAATGTGGACATTGGTGGACACGAGAAGATGCCGGGCTGCAGTGTTGAGCACTGTCCAGTGTGTAGGCCTTGGGCACATGCATTGGTGATTCCGCCCTCTCCTGGCACTGACTCACAGGGGGTCTGCAGTGTCCTTCCGTGTCCTCCTCGAGACATCATCATCGTTCTCTGCCTTCACACTTGTGACTGGGGACTCTGGGCGCCCGTGTGCTGCCTGTGACACCAGCTGGGGGGGCAAGGAGCCCCTCTGTCCGGCTAGCCTCAGCAGGAAGATAGAGATGTAGTGAGCTGGGGTGGGTCTGTCTTCATCTTTGGGTCTGGGCTGAAAGAAAACACTGCAGAGCTCAGGGTAGATAGGAATGCTGACATCACAGACCAGTAGCCATCCATGGGAGAGGCGCTGCGGAGACACGCAGAGCAGCTGACCCAGGACGGAGTGAGGGCTGGGGGAGAAAGGGACATGTGAGAATGTAAGTCTGAAGGCACAGCCGAGGCCACAGTCTTAGAGGAAAGTTAGTACCCTCCTGGGCACCCAGGAGTGACAAGACTCCAGACACACCTGTTCATTGGTCTGGAGCTGCAGGACCTGAAGGGCAGCTCACTTCCTTCCTTCCTTCCTTCCGTGCCTGCCCACCTCCTCCCTTCCATCCCTTCCACCTCCTTCCTTCTGCCCCTGCCCACTTCCTTCTTCCTCTCCATCTCTGCCAAGTATCTCCCTCCTCCCTCCCTCCCTCCCTCCTCCCTTCCTTCCTTCCTTCCTTCCTTCCACCCCTGCCCACCTCCTTCCTTCCACCCCTGCCCACTTCCTGCCTTCCAGGACTGGTACATCCGCCTCGTCAGGTCCCAGTGCTGGACCCGGTCGGACTCTGCGCTGCTGGAAGGCGCCGAGCTGGTGCACCGGATTCCTGCTGGGGAGCTGGAGGCGTTCATGATGAACCCGGTGAGTGTCTGCGGTGGACGTGGTGAGCATAGTCAGTGTCCATGGCGGACATGGTGTTTTTCTGTGATGCATTTGGTAGTGTGGTAGTGGACGTGGTGGGCTTGGTGAGTGTCCATAGTGGACGTGGTAGTGTCTGAGGTGGATGTGTTGAGTGCCCACAGTGGACATGGTGTCCACAGTGAATGTGGTGAGTGGACATGGTATCTGCAGCAGACGTGGTGAGTGTCTGGGGTGGACCCAGCAAATGTCCACAGTGGACGTGGTGAGTGTTTGTCTGTGATGGACGTGGTTGTGTTTATGATGGATATGGTAGT